GAGATTCTAGCTCACTTGCTTTTCTTGCTGTAACTAAGATAAATGGCTCCAACAAACGCCACCAGTAGTATGGGGGAGAAGTAAATAAGAGTGTATGCCCCTGGAAAGATTTTGGAAGAATCACAGTGAGCAGTGCTATCAATTTCCTGGCGAGATTATATACCAGTGTCGCCATATGCTTTGGTGGAGACATGACGAAGAACTGGATTCCAGAAATTGTTTGTCCAAGTTCTCGTTGGCCTCATGATCCAGACCATCATCCATCCTGCGAAGACAATCGCCATGAAAACCTTGGCAGCAAGGCGAAGAAAAGCCATTGCGGATGAGAGGAATGTGAGAACGAAAATGGCCTCTGTCTAGTATATATTCATGCAAAAGCTGTACGATGTACTGCCCTTGCTTCATGCAAAATAGTACATAAAATTGTCAACTCCCCTTTAGCAAGCTGGAGGGATTAATCCATGATTGTATATTTTAGTGGATTTTGCCCGTGCCCGTGCCCATAAGACATAAACAAGTGTTTGTTCGTTGTCAAACAAAGAGTTTCTATATATGGTTTTTTGTTTTCTGCGCCTGTGATTGCGCTGTGGTGTGGAGATCCCTCGCGTGAAGCATCACGCAAGAATTTGCTACAGGTATGATCCTTCGTGTTTCCAAACAATACTCTCTTTTCTTTTTGTCTCTATTGCAAAAAGAAGCCATAGCTTTCTTCTAAGTTCCAGAGCTCAAAGTTTAAGGGGTGCAAGTTGAGCTCGGCACTGTCCTTTGCATGCCCTCTGGTCACAACTATGCATTCCTTGTTTTTGCTTGTGTGCTCAGCGCAGATCTCTGTGACAAAAACACGCAACTTAGATCACAAATCGAATTTCTCCTTGCTTGAGGAGTTGGAAATCCGGGCGTCTTCCATAAACCACGTTGCTTGGTCTTATTTTCGTCGAGCTTGGGTCTATCACTGGCGCGTCTACAAGATTAGAGTCGACTTGGACCAGTTCCACAGGAGGATAGTTCCACCATCAAAGGCACAAATGGCGACCACGTACTCGAGAAGCGGCGCAAATCCTCTACCCGATCTCGAGCAAACTTGGTACGTATTGTGGTCCATTGGATAGATGTGTGCACCAGTCCCGCGATGAGCATGTATCCTGCGAAAGATGCCAGGATTGTTGCTGCAGAACTTTCTTCGCGTTTGGATTTCCAGACTCAACTTGACGGGGGATTCAAGATCACTTTCGCTTTCACGAGTGACATAAGCATGAAGTTTCAAGAAATCTGCAGCGGAGATATCGGAAGCGATGGAAGAGGTGAGATGGAATGTAGAATCTGGAGCTCCTAGGAAAACTTGACTGCCAGAATGAAAACGATTTTCTTTGGTGCAAGCCTGAGCGATGAATGGTCCGACTCCACTTCCTCCGGCCACGAAGATCAAAGCTGGACATCTTCAGCACAAAGGTAGAGTTTTAATGCATTTTGAGCCGAAATACTTACATCAAGCTCGTGACCATGAGGCCTTCAACTGCTGCTTCAAAGGGTGCGGGATAGCTGTTCTCGTGAAGACGCTCCTGATCGAGCAGCAGGTCCATCTTCCACGGCATTTCACGAGAATAGTAATTCGATCCACGTCCAAAGTTGAGCACGATGTAACAGTGAAAGGATGTCTGCAATCTCGAGATGGCGCAAGTTGAGAAAGATCACACTTGCGGCCGGGCTCTTCAATCTGTCCAAGTAAGTCATAAGTTAACAGCGAAGAACAGAAAAATGTATGTGCTTCTCACCAGGAACTTTAGCGAGAGTGAGCCCCAGAGTTTCTGGAGAGATGACTTTTGCCGAGACCACCTCAACGTGCCTCATCGATTGCAGGCACCGGAAGGCTCTATCGATGAAGAAAAGAAACACTCCGGCGATGATGATGGCGAGCCATTCCTCCCGAGGTGAAGAGCAAAGCCAATATTGAAGACAAAGTAAAGCTGGTGTGTGTAGTAAAAGAGCTCGAATCTGTGCTTCCGGAATGGAGCTAGAGAAGTCCCCAAATCAGAAGGCCGACGATCCAAGTAAACAATCCAGTGAAACCACTTATGTCGATCTTGTGCCACCTTACAAGCTGAAAGAGAGAAACCAAAGTAAGCTCTTTTCTGTAAAAATTGATATACCTCTTGTGATTTGTTTGCCATTGTCCAGTAGAGGATATAAACCAAGCACGGACAGTCCAGAGGAACACGTGATATGCCCCGTCCAAATGTGGTACCGCGCACACGGCATGCTCGAATAGTATGTTTGTTAGCCGGAAGAGTGAAAGAGCCGCGCAACTGAGAAACGCAAAGGGAGGGCTCTAGTCATACCAAAGATTGTTCCAACAATGTTGAACTTTTGTTCCCATCTAGAAGCCAGCAAAAAAGTGATAAGATCAAGGTGCATTTTTTCTTCTCTTTTTTGTTTCTGAGTCACTTACAGTAACAATGGCAAACAAATCACAACAGGTATATCAATGCAAAGTTTTAGAGAAAAGAGCTTACTTGGGTTACAGGCCTTCCCATCCAGTCGAAAGGGACATTAATCCTATCGAGCGGCGTATAAGGCGATGGAAGCTGTGAGAAGCGCGAGAGAAATCAGTGCCAGTGGTCCTCGGAGAAACCGGATAAGTTCACGGACTAATTTCTCAATTCCCTGGCATAGTGATGAGAAAAGGGTGAGTTTTAACCAAGTTCTTGAAAAGATCTTAACTCGTTGCGCAACGAGTTAGGATCTTCTCAATTGGTTTCAATTGGTGTGACATTTCTACCAATTGGGGTCGAGTGTCAAGACGATTTAGAGCCGTTGCAACATTTCGCACCAGCGAGTGCATTATTCTTCACGAGCTGGATAACTATCAATTGTAGCAAAGAAAAACACCAAACAAAAGGATACCTGCAGCCAATGAATCGCCTCCAGTGACGCGCTTGAGCAAGAATGGCGTCACAAAATTACCGGCAATATCTGCTCCTATAAAAAAACACGTAGGAATAGCAAGAGAGAAATCACTGAGACGTACTCTGCTTCATGCAATGTCGATTGTATGGCCGATTCCACGTTCTTAGCTGCCGCTGCATGGTCTGCGGGTATTGGAAACCCGATCAAAATGCCCGAACCCAATCCAAACTTCGTATTTGCCTCTGCAGTGTCAAGTTAGAGCTGATAACGACGATGACTAGAGCTTACCTCCTCCACGTTGTCTGCTCGGCAAGGTGCTTTTCAGCCACTTTTAGGAGTAAAAAATGCCGGAAATTCATCAGTTGAGTAGCTCCTTGAGTTTCCTGCAAATTGTTTCATATTAAAACGCCCGTGCGCTATACGATGGTCTGACAAGGTATTCAAGTGTTCGTGGAATGTCAAGGATTGATTTTACCCCTGCACAAACCACCGCAACTGGGGTTTTATACCGAGTTCTGTTAAGTCCGAGGAGCTTAATAAAAACAAAGTTAAAGACACAAAAGTATGAACCTTGGGGAACCTTGGGCTTCCTTGACTCGCCCTGTCGATGAACTCCTCCAATACCTCCAGTAACGAACACTTTGATTCCAGCCTGGAACATAATCCATCAAAGTTTGCTCTTTTTCCCAGTGTAGACACTACCTTTGAAGCGAAAGATATTGTTGCTGAAACAGTGGTTTCTCCATTTCCTCGACAAGCAATCTGGGATATAAAAACACTAACTGCGGAGAACAAGAGAAAAAAGAGCTTACGACGTAAGGAATGTCGAGCTTAAAGCTCAAGCCTATGCATGCGTGTGAGAGAGCAAACGAAACAAAAGCATACCAATGCATGGGACACCGTGATCAATTGGTGTTTGTGTGCTTCTTGGTGTGGCCCAGGTAGAACGCTGCGATGAATGCCAGGAGCTGTGAATGAGAGTGTAAACTCCTGGAAAAAGGTAACACAGTGTTGATCGAAGGAAGGAAAGATCTTACCAGTTTGTCCGTAAGATTTGAGAGACACGCTTGGCAAAAAAAATCTAAATCCTTTCTAGCCATAGAAACAGAAGATGGGAGCTCCGATTCGGCGATTCGTCTTCAAGTTCTTCATGATCTTGGTGTTCGCTGCGTGTGGATCATGTCTCCAACAGCAGGGCATTTCTCGGGGCCGATTGCCGAGCGCGATGTAGTACAAAGTACCAGACTAAGTACGTAGTGGACTTTCTCTGGTGCAAAAATATTGGCATGAAACACGTGGTGCCCATCTTGGGTAGCCCGTGGCCGTCGGATGAGAATTTCTACGTTGTTCGCGATTTCTTCCTCTTGGGTGTGTAGATCGCTCCAGGAGTGAGATGGCAGCCGAATCCAGTCCCAGCCACATTGTCACAGACAGACAAGCCTCCCGACGACTCCACCCGCTCCCACCGCCACTGGAATCCAGCGCCGCCATCAGCATCGACCTGGGCACGAGCTCCGCGGTCGCGGTGTGGAGGAATGGGAGAGTGGAGCTCTGAGGATCGTAAGAGCTTCAGCGACGCGCCCACCGGGATCAACAAGGTCGGCGGCGGGGCTAGCGAGGACGAGCTCTGGTCGGGGCGCGCGATCTTTGGCGCCAAGAAATTGGTGGGAAGAACCGACACTGATCAGATAGAAGTACCCATTCCTCATGATCAAGAGCCTGGGGATCGGACTCAAGCCTTTCCTGGGCGCTCGCGGCAGCAACACATCTGCCCAGGAGGAGATCCTCGTGTTGCAGCTCACCACGCCATTGCCGAGTTCCACCTTGGCAGGATGGTCCGCTTGGCAGTGGTGACCGTCCCGGTTTGCTTCTCGCGCTTCCAGCTCATGAAGACCGAGCGGGCGTGCGTGATGACGGCTTCAAGTTGCGCGGCTCATGCCCGAGCCCACCACCGCCGGCCTCGTCTACGCCCATATGATCCAGCAGCAGGGAGTGTTGGCTCCAGTCTCGGCCAGCGCCGCTGAGAAGCTCGCGCTGATCTTCAACATGGCGATGTCACCGCCACCGCTGAGGGAGTCTCGCAGGTCCGAGGCCTCGGGTGAGGCATTTGGAGGCGAGGAGCTCCTTCAGAACTTGGTCAGCTATCTGGTCTCCGAGATGATCCCGCAGCTCGGGCACAGCCCCGCCAAGGTGCCTTCCCAAGGATTGTGGCGGCGATGGTAGCGTGGGAGTGGCAGCACTTGACCGGGAAGTGAGGATGCGTGGATGACAGGCATGACTGGTGTGTCGAAGCTCTTTGGAACAAGCATGTAGAAGTTGCAAATTCATCTAGCTTCTGCTTGAAATTAGATTTTTTGTCCTTGTCATTTTACTGTGGTGCTTTCCTTCTCATTAGAATTCAAATGATAAACCATCACTTATATTAATATTATAACTGAATAACAATGGTAAAGAGGTTTAACCTTCACCCTTTCTAACCACCCTAATCTACCTTAAAACTACCTCAAAAACTCCATGAACTTTGAACTTGAGAAAATTCAACACTTAAGATTATATCAACAAGAAACAATGCTCAAGAATGAATGTATGCTATGAATCAATCTAAGGAGAAACTTGTCACTTTAGCCACTATTATCACCATTTGAAATTGAAATACTCTCTAGACTTGCGAATAAGGCATTTATGTAATTGTATATCTGTGTTTGCAATCTTTACTAAGCTAAAATTCACCACCTTTCAACCACCATGATCTATCAGGTTCTAAGGGTAGCTACCTTTACGCTGACCAGAGTTCTAGCCTTGGTTGAATATGGTCTCTACTTGAATATTTGTTGGCTTTCAATGTCTTGCTATGGTCATGACGGAAGGTATATGGGCATGGTTGTGGTGGATCATGCAAAAGGCTGTTTGAAGATGAAGAGAGGATGCTAAATTTGTGTCAGTCGTTCCAGTTGGAGGTCATAAAAACGTATGTGGTGGTGATGAATATGCAATATATATTCCTCTTTATTTATTTATCCTTAATTAAATGCCATGCCCCGCAAGTGCTATGGGCATGCGAGAGCTCAAACCGGACCCAGGGCGGCCTCGCTCGCCTTCAGTGCAAAGGCCTCCGCACTCCCGACCGAGCCTGCGGCTTGGAGTGCAGACAAGAGCTTGGAATCAGCTATCCTGGGGGTTTGGCTTCTCATGGATGAAAGTTTTGTTGGGAACATCGCTAGGCATGGAATGACAGCGGTTTCACGTCACCCAAGGAGAGTAACTGGATTGAGGGGGTCAAACTCGTCTGGGAAGCCGGCTTCTTCCCGCTCTACATGGCTCCTTGGTCTGTTGAGGAGTTGCAGCACGTTTACTTCTCAGTGCCGGACAACACATATAAGTCACACGTGTCAACTTCTGGACGACATACTACATAGCTGGGCCAATTGTGAGGTACTACTTCATGCCTTTGGAACAATACGACGTGATAGGCATGGATCAGGTTGTAAATGCCGGGGTACTACTTTATGGCATTGACTATGAACCATTTTCGCACAAGAACTCCAACTCTGGACTTTATGCGTGTGGATCATATCTCCTTCCATCACATGCCACAAGGGGCAGATCAAGGGCTGGATAGATCGGGCAACTGACTGTTCACTGCAGAGTGTAGCTAGAGTCTTGTTTGAATGTTATGCTCACCAGCGACTCTCGCAAGGTGGTTATCGATGGCCCTTCCATAGGCCTACATTTGGAGAAGCGTGACATGAAGTTCTTCTCAGGCAACAGTCTTAACTTGCAAGTACCCAGCCTCCAACAACATAGCAGCACGTCATTCCCTCTGATTGACTTGATGTCCCCATTGTCCTTTTCCAAATCTCAACTGGGTGCCAAGGAAGAGAACCAAATACAAGGTTTTAATGATGATGGAGGGTGACAAGTTTCTGGATTTGCGGAGGTTGTGTGTGGTGGAAGACATTCCAGATGATCAGCTGCTGCAGCAGCAGTTGAGCGAGAAGTCCAGAGTGGATCAAGCAAGAGGAGACACCTGAGCGGAAGAAAAAGAGGATGTACCTGCCTTTCTAGATGACGATTGCTCTCAAGATGCAGGATGATGTTAACAACCCAATCATCAACGAGATCTTCGACATTTTGTTAGATTGGAACGCAATTCAGAAAGAGACCATTGGGAACTTTGCCTCCTCATGTCCCCAAACGTAAGTCCTCCAATATCAACTGTACCATCCATCCTTGAACACAGGAAACAGAAGCATACACTACAAGCATATTGAAGATGACATGACTGTGTTTGGCATATGGATGGAAGCCATTTGGAAGACACACACTGGATTCATGGAGCAAACTCCTTTGAGTATCAAGTGCATGGCTGGTAAGTTAGTTGGGAAAAAATTGACAATTAAATATGTTGTTTGGTGTTTGTATCAATGTTGCATTTTATTTGTTTGAACATGGATAGGCCGATGGTCGTGGTACTGTCTATTTGTTTTCCTGGTCACATGTTGCCATCAGATTGAAACTGAGAAGCTTGACCAGAGCCTGAAACCCTAGACCCTAAAGTCCGTTATGAATTGCACGGGTATATTCTCTCTTCAACCGTGCGAGGATAATAGTGCCAGTTGGGGATGATGCGCATGCAGCGATAGACCCTGATGCTAGGTGGATAGATCTCCCTCCTATCTCCAGGAACATGGATACGGGAGTGCTATGAGGATCTCTATGCCGACATGAGAGAGCTCGCAAGCCTGGGCAAGAACTACCTCCACATATCAGGAAACCCTGGAATCAGCAAGTCGTGCTTTCTGTGGTACGTCCTGAAACGGCTCCTCAGTGAAGAAGGGATACTGGCCTTGATAGTTCAGCTCATTGAAAGAAAAAGGGAGGAGGTTTACAACTTCAAACCAGATGGGAGTTACACACCCGTTTCTGAAGACGCTTCAATCAATACATCAAACACAGTCACCATCTCCTTGCATTGTACTCTTCCCTTTCCTGTTCGATTGTAACGCAATTCAGAAAGAGACCAAACAAAATACCCATATAAAAACTTGCACATACCTCCTTGCACCAACAGGGAACTTTGCCTCACCCAGCTTTCTGCTCATGTCCCCAAACTTGAGTCCTCCAGTATCAACTGTACCGTCCATCCTCGAACGGAAAATGTCGAAGACCTCCTCGATGGTCAAGTAGTTGATTGAGCCGTTAATCTGATCCTGCATCTTGAGAGCAATCGTCATCTGGAAAGGCAGGTAGATCCTCTTTTTCTTCCACCCAGGCAATCCACTTTGGACTTCTTGCTTGCTTCTTCAACTGCTGTTGCAGCAGCTGATCATCCAGAATGTCTTCCACCATGCATAAGCATTGTGAATCTAGAGACTCGTCACCCTCCATCTTCACTAAAACGGCATACACTTGGTCTTCCTCCTTCACGCCTTGTAGGCCGGACGGGATGTCGGGATGCTCCTTTCTGAACACCATCAGCGAAGAGCATAAGGCGTAGTAGTCACTTTTGTTCATTGCTCTCTGCTTCAATGCATTCGAGATATGGAAAAGGATGAGTGGGGGGTACACCAAGTCTATTGGAGGGAATGACGTGCTGCTAGGCCATAGATAGTGGAGGCCAGGTACTTGTAGGTTGAGACTGTTGCCTGAGAAGAACTTCAAATCACGTTTCTCCAAATGCAGGCCAATGGCAGCATCATCAACACTACAGAAGTGACCACCCTGTGAGAGTCGGTGGTGAGCATAGCATTCGCACAAGACCCAATCTCTGCAGTGAAGCCAATACCCGAGCCCACTCCACCCAATGCTTGATCTGTCCCTTGTAGCATGCAATGGTGAAACAATCTATGACCCACTCCGAAGTGAAGGAGATATGATCCACAAGGGTCAAGTCCAGACTTGGCCAGGAAATGGAGGTCCCTGGCAAAAATAATCCACGGTAAATGTTGAGCTCTCCCACTTTCACAGCATGGCTCACAGCCATGCCTATCATGTCGTATACACGTTCCAAAGGCATGAAGTAGTACCTCGTGATTGGCCCGGCTATGTAGTACATCGCCCAGAAGTCGACGTGCGACTTATTTGCGTTCTCGGGCGCCGAGAAGTAAACCTGCTGCAACTCCTCGACAGACCAAGGAGGCATGTAGAGCGCAAAAAAGC